TTTTTTTTTTTTTTTTTGCTATTATTTTCTTCCCCCTATGAGAAAGAATTTTCATTCTTGAGACTCATAGGAGGTGTATTATCCAGATTTTGATAAATCCCCACACAATTTTTATAGACAACAGATTACTAAGTAACAAGTCATAATTATTAATAATATATCAGTAACTCACAATGGGCTCTAGCCCAGATGGGATAAGCTATGGGTATGTGAAATTCCTGGCTCAATGGCTACAACTCCATCTTTCTCTCACTGAAGAAAGTGTATCAAAAAGCAAGTGAGAGACATAAAAGTACAAGAATAATCTGCATCTGCTCCAGTTTCTACATTTATAAACCTTAGTCCAAGTATCAGCAAACAACTTACCTGAGAGAGATCTACCAATGACTGTCCTGAAGTTGAAAAGTGCTAGTGAAGTGTAAAGAATTTCAGATTGGAGTCACACAGTGTCTGTTACCAGTGTCTGTTACCAGTGGTAAACCCTAAGCTAGTTATTTTAACCGGGTCTCAGCCTGAATGCTCTCATTAGTAAAATGGAGATAATATTTCCCAGAAATAGTGTTCAGATTATAAATGACTTATGTAAAATCAACTGCATATATGGTATGTGATTAGTGGCAGCCAGTATTCTCAATAGGGTCCACCAGGCTTCTGGATAGCAGTCAAATGCTTTAGGCACTATGCCACCAGAGCTTCTGTCAAATTATGTAGTACTGTGTTAGAGAAAGGAGCTCCAGTGGTATAGCGGTTAATTCCACTACTAACCAAAAGGTAAGTGGTTCAAACCCACCAGGCACTCTGTAGGAGAAAGATGAAGCAGTCTGCTCTGTAAAGATTTACAGTTTGGAAATCCATGGGGCAGAGTTCCACTCTGTCCTATAGGGTTGCTAAGAATAGGAATTAACTCAATGGCAGCATGTTTGGTTTTTGGTCTGGTGTTGGAAGAGTAACAACAGACCTGCTTTTCCCCCTTATATCCAGGAGCTGGCCTGCAATTATTCTACAAAAGTGTCATTAAGTACAGTTCTTGAATTCTACCTAGGAAATTTGGTGGATACTTCTAGCTTTTAACCATGCAGTATAGCCCGACTTTCTCATTTTATGAAGAATTATGTTCTACTCTTAAAAGTTAAAAAAACAAACCTCCAAGACCACTGGTTCTTTCCATTAAATTACTCCACTTCCTTTGACTTAAAACATGCAGATGATTTTTCATGAAATACTTTTGTTAAGCTCTCTTTAAAACTGATGAGTTGAAAATGTACCTGTGTTGAAAACTACTACAAAAATCTCTAATTTTTATGAAGCCACTTTCTCAGACACCAAAGTCAAAACACACATAAATACTGAGGATTACATGAAAGTCCACTACTAAATGGAAAATGAGTCATTTCCTAATATTCCTAATTTTCACCAAAAAGCTTCTTTGGCGGAGAAAAAGTTCAAGGAGCAACTTTAATGGAACAATATCAATGCTTTTAAAGAAATACTTTGTCCTAGAATGTATCATGGAATTTTCAGGGAGATAACTGTTTCTAAAATTTTGTCTTCTACAATACTGATATATCTGGTATTCAACAGGCACAGAGCACAAGTTACCTGGAATGAGGGAATAGTATAGGTGAGTTTGTTTTACTGTGAAGACAATAAATACTGGACTTATTCCAAATTTAGATGAGCATGAATATTGTCTCATCTGTTACTGGCTTCTCAACTGTAACAAATTAACACAGATAATATGTATAAAATCTTTAAGTTCTAAAATATATTATTAGGTGGAAAATTAGTTTTTCAAAATAAATGGCTTGGTTTATGTATTTAATAGGATACTATCGGAAAAACAGCTGAATGGACTGTTTCCTGACTTAAATAAAAACACGTAAAATGTAAATTTACATAGTAAACACTTACCCTTCAGATTCTGCCTCTACAAATACTTCATCTCCATCATCACCTGCTGCTGTTTCATTTGTTGTGGATAAAGTGCCAGTGGATGTTGTCACCATTGGGACAGACTGAGAGGCATGTTCTGAAGCATCAGAAGTAGCACTCTCAGTAAATACAGTCACTTCAAAAATAAAACAAGAAAAACAATTAAAATTTAAGTTTGCAGTTGTTCCAATTTTTAGCCAGACAATATCTCATAGGTTCCCATCTTACCAATGAAACACAAATCCATAAATCTGCCTTTGATACCTACCCGGGGCTGCTACTTGTAGAGGAGTGGTGGGAACACTTCGGCCACCAGACTCTTCTTCATGAGCTAGGAAGAGGGGTGTTTCATACATTCCTAAACCTAAAGAAAATGCTGAATATTAATGTCTGGAAGAACATAAATCTGCAACATCCTTGGTGATCTGAAAGAAGAAAATTACCTGAGATCTACAACTTTGTTGAAGTCCATAACTTAATTAGTCCATCAAGCAAAATTCAATGTCTCAAACTTTTAATATAATTTAAGCAAATGTCAAAACCAAAAAGCCAAATACACTGTCATCAAGTAGACTTTGACTCATAGCGACCCCCATTGGGTTTCTGAGGTGGTAAATCTTTATGGAAGTAGATTGCCCCATCTTCCTTCCATAGAATGGCTGGTGGTTTTGAACCACCAATCTTCTGGTTAGCAGTCAAATGCCTCAGGCACTGCACCACCAGAGCTCCTTAAGCAAATGTTATGCTTCCTAATATTAATTAAAGCACCCTTGAAAGTTAGCTAAAAACACTGCTTTTATAGTTTCATACAAGTTAACTTTATATATTGAGTACTCAATTTATTAGATTCTATTCCTCACCAAAACTGAAATATAGTATTATCCCTCTTTTAGGTTTAAAGAAACTAAAGTTCTTTAAGAGGCTAATAAACTTTCCCAAGGTCACAAAGCTACTAAGTAGGTGGCATTCCAACTTAAGCCTAATTCTGACTCCCACATTGATGAATTGCCCTATTAATACAATGTCACATAAAATTTGGAAATGATATGGAATCAACTCACAATTTCTTATCGGCAGAAGCCTGCCATATTAAAATGAACCTCCTAAATACCAGGAAACATGACATATTATGTGACCCTAATGAAAGCTACAGATTTATTTTTTGTCTTGAGCTTTTTACAGAAGTACTATGTGTACTCTCTTTACATACAAAATGCCAGACAGCTTCTTAGAAAGATTACACATGTATGGATTTAACTTGGAAATCATTTTATTACTTTCACATATTTTTATCATTTTTTTCTTATTTTTAATAATGGTTTTTTCTTCTAACTAGTTTTATACATTTAGCTTGGAACAATTACAAATACCAAACTGTGAACAGAAAACATGCTGCATTCCTTCCAACAACTTTTAACTAGTTGCTTTTCAGCTGATTTTGACTCATGGCAAACACAGGTGTTTCAGAGTAAAACTGGGCATAGGCTATGACCCAGTAGATTGCTAAGTCTTTCCTCTAAGTTGCCTCCAGAATGTATTCACCCAGCCTATCTTTCAGCTAGTAGCTGAGCACTTAACTGTTTTACACCACCGAGGGATACCTTGTAGTCCCTATGTATGTTTATTGGTTCAACAGTTATTTCTTACAGCACATACAATACTATATACAAGGAGCCAGAACGGATACAAATGTAAAATCCTGTCCTATGACCAAAGAACTCTGAACTTTGTTGGAAAGATAAGATTTGTAGATTAAGTAGTATGCAATTAAAAAAACAACAACAAAAACCCATTGTCATCAAGTCAGTTCCAACTCACAGCAAAACTTTAAATAGAGCAGAACTGCCCCATAATTCTAGTTCCCAAGACTGCAAATTTTTACGGAGGGAGACTGCCTCATCTTTCTCCCATGGAGTGGCTGTGAGTCTGAACCACCAGCCTTTTCGGCTAGCAGCCAAATGCTTTAGCCACTATGCAACCAGAGCTCCTACTGTTTAGTAAGTATATGTATATTATGACTTTTTTTATATTTATACTCATGTGTTGTTTCCTGAAAATATGTTACAAAAGCTTAATAAATACTACATGCAAATCTAAGCAATCCATGGCTTTATTTAGCTATTTATTACCTCCTTGAGAAGCAAGCTGGCCAAGATCAGAGTGACTGGAACTAGTTTGTGGCATATCTTCAGGTGGTCCAAACCGGAATCTAGGAACACCAGCAACTTGTGGGGAGCTAAATGAATAAAAATTAATTTAATATAAAATTTAAATTTACTCTGTTTATTGTATTTTTTCCTCACAAATGGCATGTCCATATAAATAAAGCATGCATACAAAATAACAGTCCAAAATGACAAAATTATGCTGAAAAGTTCTGGCATACAGCACCCATGCATACATCACACATATCTTGTGACATCTCCAAAAGTGAATTTTGGCCTCATTCACCCTCATTCAATTGTCTGAAAATGTTACTTTTGATCAGATTTATATAATAAACATCTTAAGCATGGTTAAGAAGTCATTGTAAACAAAAAAGAAACAACTAAAACTGTGTATTTGTTCTGGGGCAATTTGTGGCCAGGACGTAGAACAGTGGATTTGTATCCAAGTACAGTGCACTGAAGATGGGTGGAGGGTCAGGCAGAGGGTCAAGCTAGAGACCATGGTCTCAGGGGATATCAAGTTCACCTGGCATAACATACAATACACAAAAACACTGCTCTACATATACATTGGTGAGTAGTGCCTGGGGTCTTAAAACCTTATGAACAGCCATTTACGATGTAACAACTGCTTTTTCCTCATCTGGAGCAAAGAAGAGTGAAGAAAATCAAAGACGCATGGAAACAATTAGTCCAAGGGACTAGTGGACCATGGGAACTTCAGCCTATGTGATCGTGAGGCCAGAAGAACAAGATGGTACCTGGCTACCACTGTTAACCACTCTCTGGAAAGAGACTGAAATAGGAGGTCCTGGATAGGGTAGGAGAAAAATATGGAACAAAGCTCAAAATCATTAAAAAGACCGGGCTTACTGCCTGACAGAGATTGGTGAAACTCCTAAGACTGTGGCCCCTTAGTCCTGGAATTGAACTTACTCCCATGGCTTAACTTTCATCCAAACAATAGATAGGCCTAAAAGGTGAACAATTACACCAAGTAGGTACACTCCTGAAGACAATCAACCATGGGAGATCAGAAGGGCAGCACATGTGCAGGGAGAAAGTTCAAAAGGCAGGAATGCACAGGAAGAGGGACAAAGGGAAAAGGTAAAGGTAACCCATAGAAAGGAAGTAGGAAGAGAACTATTATGTTGTGGGGACTGCAATCAATGTTATGAAACAAAATGTGTATGAACTGTTGAATGGAAAACAAATTTGCTCTATAAATTTTCACCCAAATTACAACAGAAAGTTTAAAAAAAAAAAAAAAAGGCACATGTGCAGGCAGACTTATTTTATCTGAGTGAGGGAAGCACAACCCCTATGCCTACAGTGCTCTATAAGCCCTGCAGCACCTGTGTGGGCAAGAGATTAAAATGGCCTGTGTGGTCGGTGGCCAGTTGGCTGGCAAGGCAGACTGTGTGTGGCTGTGGCACACCAGCCTCAACTATCTGAGTGGCCTCTTCAGATGGGATGCATAGACTGGAAGGGCTGTTTCTGGGACAGAAAAACTGATCTCTTCCTGCATTGAAGAAAGTAGTTTGCAGAGCAGGGAAGTAGTCCTGCTGGGAGAGATGCTACTTTATAAAGAGACTCCAGGGTAGGATGTTGAGGGTCTGCTGCTGGGAGCCAAACCTGTATATCAACAGGTACCAAGACAAAGCCTCAACATTAAATGTATTAAGACAGGAGGGGGGGGAGGGAGGGAGGGAGGAAGGAAGGAAAGAAAAAAAAAAAAAAAAAAATTTTTTTCAAAATATCAGCTTTCAATGAATAGCATAATAAAAATCATCTGTGGTTTAGATATAAGTTAATTTCTAGCTCTCCTGAACTATGGCTCACACTTCACTCTTATCTACTAGACATCTCCAAATAGGCATACTGAAAGTAACTGAAATTCAAAATGAGGGAGACTTCTACAGAGATGGAATAGGCAGACAAGCTACACAGATCCTTTTCAACAAAGAAACAAGAAACCAACTGAAACAGATGCATATGATAATCCTGGAACCCTCACCTTGGAAGGGAACTATTAATTAGTGGAATAAATACAACGGCAAATAAGGAAATAAGGAGACAAACGGAGTTGTAGACTGTCAACTGCCCTGACTGCATAGCCATTTTGAATATTTGCAAGTGGCGTTCCGGTTGGGATAGCAATCTGACAATAGGCTCTGCATACCAAGGAATGCATGGACATCCACACTAATGGCTGGTGACTAAAATGGTGCAATACTCCCCTTGTATACCACACCCTCCCAGTCAACGGAAGTGTGGCCCTCTCCCATGCCCACCACCTTCTGGATCAGCAGGAATTCCATCCAGATGGGGCATCCTAACACCAGCTGCCTTTCTGGACAGGCAGGAACTGGTTCCAGCACCAGGCACTCTGCTCCAAGCTGCCTTCTGGGACAGCAGCACTGTATTCTAGGAAAAGACTCCTTGTCCCCCGAGACATCCTCTGGATCAGCAGGAATTTCATCTGGGATCGGGTACTCTGTCCCCAGTGCCTGCTGGGTAGGTAGAGCTAGTTTTCTATCAGGTGCCCTGCTCCCACCTGCCTTTTGGGCCAGCAGGAACTACTTCTGGAAATAGGGGTCCTGTCCCAAGATGCTTTTTGAAACAGCAGGAACTTCTTCTGGGACCAGATGCCCTGCCTCCAGCACCCTTTTAGGCCTTCTGGAACTATGTACACTGCTCCCTGCCACCTGCTCATCCAGTAGTAACACGATCTAGGTGCCATATCCCCTTAAGATTTCTCTTTTATTTTTAAGAGATTCTTTTTCTTTCCTTCCATTTTTATTTCATTTTTCCTTTTCTTTCTCTTCCCTGGATCTTGTTCTTTTTCCTTATTCCTCTTATAATTCTTCTCATCCTTGCTTTTCTTTTTGCATTTTTTCAAAGTAGTCTCTTTCTTTTCTTTTTTCCTTCTCCCCAGATTTTGTTTCTTTTTCTCTTTATCCTTCTTTTTTCTTTCTGTGGTTGTTGTTTGTTTATGCTGTTTGTTTTTATTCTCGTCTTCGATTTTTTTTTTTTTTTGTCCCATCCAGCAAAAGACAACCACCACAGTTACACAACCCAATCACATCTGTATCTCCTACAGCTCCACCCAATGAGCAAGGACACTACCTGATTCTGATTCTGCACTAACTGATTGCCAAAGGGGCAGGGAGGCCACATCTTCTGACCTCCTTCATTCCTCCTGCAGCACCCATCACCTCTCAGCTGGGTTCGATAATTCGCTGCAGTGGCCACACATAACTCAGATTATGGGGTTTATTAGGGAAGCAACAGGCTACAACTCAAGTTCAGAAATGCACTCAGTCTCTTGCAACCAGCCATCTCACTTTGCAGACAGCAGTCTCTCTCTCAGCAGTGTGTTTCTCACATCTCTCTCTTAGCAGTGCACGTCTCTCATGTTTCTCTCAGCAGCACGTCTCTAACATCTCTCACTCAGCAATGTGCATGTCTTTCAGGAGTGTGTTTCTATCGGCAGCACGTCTTTTTCAGCCAGCAGTCAGAAAGACTCCTTCTGCCTCTAACAGGGCTCCCTTTAAGCCTGGCAGAGTGGTCAAACTAACCAATCCCAACATCAGAATTCTATACACCTGAGAAAAAGAACACTTCCAGAAGATTGTTTTCTGTCACTCTCAACAGAAATACCCCATGGGGATAACATTAACAATCAGAAGCTACTCAGTTGCTCATGGCAAATTCCACATGGAGTTTACAAAGACTTATGGCTAGAAAAGCCACATTATGTAATTTACTATACTACACTGCTCAACGATAAATGGCAGCCAATATTGGCCCAATCTGCTCTCAACTGTTCCACGTGAATAGCAAACAGAGAACTGTGCACACATTTTCATCCTCTATCACACCCACCAGAAGACAGGGGGTGAATGCCTAACTGCTGTCAAACTAGCAAACAGATTAGCACACTAGCCCCACTCACTCAGATATATAAACTAAAAAAAACCCAAAAATTAAAAAATAAAGCAAAGATGAATCCTTCTACACATACAGTACTGCATTGTCAGTGATGGCAAACACTGATCTACAGGTGGACAGATAGGTGGATAGGCTGAACTATTAGGTATGTCTACGCAAGGGGGAATGTGCACATGACCGTGTACAGGATTGGCACACAATGTTTCTACAAGTGTATTTTTACATTCTCAGGAGCTCTGGTAGTGTAGTGGCTAAGGCACTTGACTGCTAACCAGAAGGCCGGTGGTTCAAACCCACCAGCCACTCCTCGGAAGGAAATGGAGCAATCTACTTCCGTAGTGATACTGCCTCAGAAACCCAAGGAGGGGTTGCTATGAGTCGGGTCCGACTCGACGGCACATAACAACAACAACAACAAGAATTTCTAGGTATATAGCAGAGCTCACAAGGGACAAGGTTATAGTCACTTCTGGGTCACAGACAGCTACCCAGAGGGAGCAAGCAGTTGGACCTGTGGGTTTGGGACCATAGTCCCAGGGGACATCAAGCTTAACTGGCATAACACACTACACAAAAACATTGTTCCACATCCTACTTTGGCGAGTAGTGACTGGGATCTTAAAAGCTTGCAAGTGGCCATCTGTATGCAACAATGGGCTTCTCCTCGTCCAGAGCAAAGAACAACAAAGAAAACTAAAGACACATGGAAACAATTAGTCCAAGGAACTGGTATACCATGCAATCCTCAGTCTATATGACTATGAGACCAGAAGAACTAGATGGTGCTTGGCTACCACTGTTAACAAGTTGGAGGGCAATCTATGTAGGAGATCCTGATAGAATGGGAGAATAATGTGGAACAAAACTCAAAATCATTAAAAAAAAGGGGGGGGGCAGTTTTGCTGGTCTGATAGAGCCTGGCAGAACCTCTGAGACTATGGCCCCTAGCTGCCCTTCAAGTCTGGAATTGAACCCACTCTTGTAGCTTCCAGCCAAAGACAAGATAGGCATATGAGCTAACATTTACATTTGGTAGATCCACTCCATGGAGAGATCAATCATGGGAGAATAGAAGGACTGTGTATGCACAGGAAGACAGCTCAGTGAGCAAGAG